TGAAATTGGTGCGTTAATGTTTGAATCCTGGGTCCCTGCCCCCAACACAATCTCCACTGTTCACAGTTTCTTTTGCGATAATTGGAATGATAACACTACAACATATCCTTCAAGAGTATTTGTTTTTGTGTTCTCTTGCTTCATGCCAAAGTCTTCTAACTCCAATTTCACCTTTGCAAGTTGAGTCACCTTAGTTTCTGCGTCAATTGCTTCGCTGAGATAAGGTGCATGTGCCTCGAAGCTCCCTTCGACTTTGGCACCATGCAAGATAAGTTCGCTCCATCAGGACGAGGGACCCGTGGAACGACATGATTTCGATCTTGCCTTTGCAAGAGTTTATGCCCTTAACCTTTATTCAAGAAAAACTTCACCCCTTCGCTCTATGTTCCATCTTCTATGTTGATTTCCTTTATACGACTTGGGCATTTCACCAAGTTCCACCTAAGTTGTTTTGCTCCTTCGTTTGCATTGAGTTGATGGTAGCCCTTGCACCCACCATTTCACAGGTCAGACCTTCATTGAATTCGATTTTCATATCGACTCTAAGTGTGCTTTCGTTTGGTGTTACCTAAGATTGCTCCCTTACTTGATCTCACAATATGTCCACTAAGACATTACCATGTGTGAGATCATGCGATGACTCATCGTCGCTCACTCGGTCCATTGGGCTTTATGGAGCTATTGTCTTGAGATATCCTTTTCACATGTATGGCCCGTTGCATATGATTTTCTCTGTAGAGAATCAAGACTTATCCCTCTTGGATATCTGTCCCGTTAGAGCAAATTTTCTCTTTGCATCCTTCTCCTAAGAAATTTCAGAGACCACCATCCCCCTATACTACTCTGCCTTGCTAAACAAACTGTGTATTGTTTTGCCACCGTGAATGCACTTGCTAGATTGCAACTCTTCGCCCATATAGCCTTCGTTATGCTCCTTAAGGCTTGGCAACATGCTAAACCTACTACACACTTCAGCCTCCTATGAACGTATCCTTCCTATGCTGAAGAGAAGTTGCTTTGGGTTGGCCATGAACAATCCATCGTCCGTATACAATCCCTTGCATGAGTATCGAATCCTTCGAGTTAGCAATTCCTCTCACCTCTGTGAGCTTTGCACAACTCTTTTAGTCGTCGAGCAATCCATCCCTCCTTGCACGGTCTCACACTTTGCCAAGCGCCCATTTTGCCTTTAGCACTGTCAAGTTTGATTGTAAACGTCGAGTCGTAGCTCAAACTTAGTCATCCCAATCTTTGTGCATTACGCGTTCTTCCCAGCTTGCTTGTACTCGTGGTGCCTCTCGCGCTAAGGATTGCCCATTCCTCTGAATGCCAATCTTGGATGCTTGCTCCATTGAGCGACTTCTTTCCCTATGTCTTTATGCCTGTTTCCCTCAAACGGTTGCGCATGTTAGCTACCCTCAATGCAGCCACGTTAGGTTCCTCACATTTGCATACTAAGTGTTTTTAAGTGTGCTTGTCTCACTCTGATATCATATGTCATGGACTTGGTTGGTTTTGCCTAAGTCGTGTGACACTCTTGAGTGTTCGTCCGCAAAGAATCAGCCTCACCAAAACCTCTTATGGTTCCATAAGGACCTGCAAAAGAGAAGGCGATTTAGAGAAAATGTTTAACTCGAGATCCCACAAATAGATATTTCAGCAAACACTTGATAGATAATGTAAATTACAAACATAGACTTCGCAAACTTTGAATGGTCGCGCAATAGGGTCCAAGGTGGTCTTGCATAACCAAAAGTCCCCACAAGTGGTCACATGACACTATTACGGAACAAGACAATGAACCAGCCCTAGACAAGACCCCAAAGGCCCACTAGCCATTTGTCACTTGGGTAGCTCTAGGGTGCTGTACTGATTGACACTCTGCACCATTCTGTGAAGCTAGAAAACCTCCAAAATACATGGATGACCTATTTTTTGACAGTTTTGCCTCTGCACGATAGCTGCACACAACTTACGTTTATAGAACTAAAACGGCCACAAAAATCAACCAAAATAGGGCTGTCAAGTCTATTGTAAGCCCTCTACAGGTTATGCAAAGTATGAATAAAATTGAAAGACAGACATATACGAATATTACATTGAAAACGTTTTATACAGATTTATCCATGACCCATTTATGGTTATTTTGCTGGCTTGCAAACTTCAGTTTCGAGTATATTTGTTTCTTTGTGCCATTTGCAGAATACAAATTTTAATTTGATTTTTAACATACTGGACGCAATATCTATATGTAAGAGCTAGACCTTTCTTCGGGGTTTTTTCTGATTATTATTGTTGCTAGAAAGAATGATAAATAGTGCCTTTTTACTAGAATGCAGGTATTATCAGGCTACAATGAAATATATCCATACTAGAGGAGCTGGAAGGTGTGATGAACCATCAGACATAAAGGCTATGCTTTCAGGAGACATACAGAGATACTTTTAGAAGATTCAGGTTCTCCTTGTTAAGTAGACACTCGGGCACTGTATTACTATGTCTACAGTGAGCTTTTGTGGTTATTTATTGAATTGTCCTGGTTATTTGAACATATTAGTTGTTGCCATAACTGAAGTATTTTTTTCATACTAAGCAATTTCTTGTCGCTTTTTTATGATGACATCTTTGTGATGATTCAGTTGGTTGCCAATCAGCCCTTTTTTGGTAGGTCAATGACGAATGGATAATTTTCCATGAGAACTTTCTTGGGCTATCTATCGTGATCAATGAGCTAGTCCATTCCTTTTTAGTATAAGCAAGTTCTAGTTTTAGATATTGGTAATTACTCTTGGATGTACTTTTCTATGTCACTGTGTTTCTGACCCCTGCAATTTTTTTGTACTCGTGCGATATTTCTTTTCTTGGTTTAGTCCGGCCAGCATATTATGAACGGACGGGATCGTCGGCTGTGGTTGCGCTATCTTCTGTGTGCCAAGACAGTGCTGAAATTTTTGGCTTAATAAAGGCTAAAAGAAAGTTCTTAAGATTTATGTATATGTTTTTCTAAATATACATAAATCACCTGATTGGGATTTCATCTGTTTACTTCCAAAATAAAATAAAATAAAAAACATTGTTTGTTTTGCTAAATAGTTTGCAGAAAGCAGCTGTTTGTTTTGACAGGAACTACTTTACGACTGGAATCCCCCTCAAGAAGTCCTTTCAAGCACGTGCAAGATCGATCAGCTTTTGGTATTAACCTAATTTTTTGCCTGCATAAAGTCATTTACGAATAACAAAAGGTATGTACCAATTTCTTTTCTAAGAATAAATGATGAAGACGGATCTTGGTCTCAGGATTTTATGATTCTTACCTCTTCTTTTTAATCGGTGCATGAATCCAACAACGTACCCAAGTGCATGAATCAGTCCTGAATTTGATTTATGTATGTGTTTTTCTACTTGCACTCATTATCTTAATCTGATTTATGTATACTCATGACTTTTACCTTACCGGAGTTTACATTTAACTAAATATTTCAGTACCTTTCTATCCATACTCGTTTTGAAGTCAATTAAAATCATAACCCATCTTAAGTGGGTCAGTTTAGTACAAAATATCCAATTCTTTTGACACATGCTAAATGATTCAGAGCAGAGCCATTGCTCTCGAGCTCTTTCGATGGTAACTCTGCTCTCCTAATCTCTTATAGGATTTTGGAGGACAACTAATTAAGAGTGTCCACAGACTTCACCGCAATTGGGTAGAAGAAGCCAACTTGCAACTTCAAGTTTCGTTATCGATCACCGAGTTCGCTCATCTCAAGCTTTTCTGGCGGCCAACTTCTGCACGGGCGGACGCAGTCGATACATCATCGGAACTTGCGTTGATCCCTCGTTTCCAAGAACAAAGCCAATTTCCTCGAAAGAGTGAAGCTCAAGAGGTCGTTCTGATACAAAGCGTTTCTCCACAGTGACCCTCCGTTACAATCCTCCCAGCCGTGAGTCATCATCTATTACGCAACTTGAGCTTAAACGAAGAAGAAAGGACACAAGGAATGGGGACTCGGTATATAGTGCATACACATGCATACAGAGAGTCCAGTGTCCTTTCTCGTGCTTTAATTCAAACTGATTCTTGCTGGGGAATTTTGGTCGAATGCAGAAGCTAGATCTCATGCATCAGGGACGGACAAGAAGAAGTGGGATGAGGAAATGGGCAGCTTCAACAGTTTTGCTCACAAGCTAAACAATCACCAATGCAGGGCTTTTGTAAAGGTTTTAGGTACTTAATCTTTTGCAAGGGAATCAACCAGTGACACATGGCACATCTTCAACTAGGCAATGACATTTCCATACTTTTGCCTCTGTCTCTGTTGCCGCTTTTCAGAGATCTGACCACTTGGCACAACCCCAAGCGATGAGCACACCGATGTCCTCTTTTCTTTTGGGTGGGGGGTTGTACAGCAGAAAAGGTTCTGCAAGTTCTATCGTCATAGCCAATTGAATTTGAACGTGGAGACAGTGGATTCATGTCTGTCAAATACCGGATCGTCTGGATGATGATGAGTGTTAACAAGAAGCCAATGCCAATCCCCAGCGCATGGTGTAGGAGGTTTGTCTCATTTATGTCACCAAGCACAGGGACAGGAGGCAAGAAGAACCTGGGTTCTGTTGAGTGATTTCCCTCCCTTACTCTTGGAGCTGTCTGCATCACTTCCGAGTAGAGAGTTGGGAGCCTCTGCAACTTCTTCTGACTAGGTTCTCTGTCATTTTCTCTACTGCTTTCTTGAAGTAGGTTTCTGTGGTGAAGATGATGAAATCTTTCGGTCACTTGTGTTATTTAGGTTTCTTTCCATCTTTTGTATGGGAAAGACACAGCTCATTGTGTTGTGTTTGTTGGCTCTCTTATTTTAACCTGCAAATAGCTCTCCCGGGATGTTCCATGCAGTTGTTGGTTGGCTGGATCACGAGTTAAATAAGAAAAGGAGCTGCCTTTGTAGGATTCCAAGAACCATGCAAGTGGGCACTGGCCCCTGGGGCTTTGCTCTGATCCTATATCTCCAAGCAAGCAAGTTGGCGAATGGCGTGCTTAGAGACGATGGCTGATCATGGCGGCGGCCGGGATCAGCAGTTGCAGCCTCTGACCGACGCCGAACACGGTTCCTTCCACGGTCTCATGCTCAACGAGGTCCAGAGCCGCCTGGGGGGGCCCCTGCACGGCCTGAGCCTCGGCGACCTCCTCGAGCATGCCCCTCTCGTCGCCGACGGGCTCCGTTGCAGTTGGAGCGGCGGCGTGCCGCGTGTCCTGAGCAAGAAGACCATTGTCGAGGCGTGGAGGGACATCCAGCTGCGGCACGAGGAGGGGAGCAGTGAACGCGCTGTGCTCGGCGAAATGACCGTCGAGGACTTCTTGCCGAAAGCGGGCGCGGCTGCACAAGGCACGGATTCTGGTGTTGCGGACGCTCATGCAGTGCGTTCCCCCGGCCGAGGGAGCAATTCGTCGGCTGCTGCAGCGACCGCGCCGCCGCGTTCACGACGACGGAGGAGGGTAGCAACAGAGGACGTGGCCGAGAAGATGGTAGAGCGGAGGCAGAAGAGAATGATCAAGAACCGGGAGTCAGCTGCTCGATCTCGAGCAAGGAGGCAGGTAAGGAGGCTCAACCGATCCCCTCTCTCGCCCTCCTCCATATCTTAGACATGCTTGGATCTCATGACAGGCTTACACGAACGAGCTAGAGAACAAGGTCGTCCTCCTCGAAGAAGAGAACCAAAGACTCGTGAAACACAAGGCAGTGTCCTTAAATCTCAAACCTGACACATCTTTTAGTCCTCCAAGTTCTAAGCATGCAGCTGAGCTTGCCAAGTTCATCATCTTTGATTCTTCTTCCTTGCAGGAATTAGAAGCAGTAGAACGTAGCATGCCACATCCAGATCCGAAACACCAGCTCCGACGTACGAGTTCAGCTCCATTCTGACCATGTCAATATCGATCTTCGATGAGGTAATCCGGTGAAACATTTGCCCATCTGTTACGTGAGCTATCGAGCTCGATATGTTCACGAGGGAGATGGTGGAAGCTCAACAGGCCGTGGCTGCCATGTTTGTTTCGGCTTCCTAGCATCGAATGCTGTCTGTGCTCTCTTTATGGTGCTAATGGATGCTTTTACTTTGGAGATGGGATGTGATTTAGTTCTTTCTTCAATGTCTCGATGAGATTTAGTTCATCACATTGAACTTGTAAATGAGTTATTCCTTCTTCGATTGCCAATGCTTCATAGGATTTCGCATTAAAAATACTATTTCTGATTGAAAAATCCAATTCCACCCTTACCTGTCAATGTATCGAAAGCATCACATCATATATGATGAAATTGCTTTATATGCAATAGTCAATGGATCATCAGTCTTAACTCTATTCGATAGGAACTCATTTCTGGAAGTCGAAATCCATTATTCCAGACATCAAAATACAAAGAAATATTTAAATTTTATGGATTCCAATTAATTACCGCTGTTAACGTTACCAATCTAATATAAATTCATGGCATCTCTGTGCCTCCTATTTTGAAAACTGAGCTTTTCTATATAGTTTGTGGCGATTGAATATGAGGACTCACAGCATAATAATAGAGGTCGATTGTGATTTACGTATCAATTAAAGCTTAGATCATGACGTTTCATCAGACAGAAAAAATGTGCATAAACAGTCTGCCAAGCAGTGAGTGCAGTGATGGGAACTGATTGGCTGTCTACACGTTCTATTCGAACACAAATCCGAATTTAAATCTGAAAGGTTATGTTCTTACTCGAATTTTTCTATTTAAATCTATCATATGCTCGACTAAAGAATATCCATACCCGATTTGAGTCAAACAAACTAAATATTTGAACTAAGGTTCGAGATATCAATTCTTAAATTTTTTAAGATGTTAACTAGCTTAATTAATTGATCTCTCAATAGAAAAATCTCGAGATTAAGTTCATCTCTATTGATTATTATTATTAAAAAATATTTAACCATAAAGGTAGTCGAACTTGAATCGGATACTCAAACTTGATCGAAGACGATGAAAGATATATAAACTTGATCCGAAAACCGTATGATCTATCATGTCCAAATTTGATTTAAGTGAGTCAAACACACTAAACATATTGATCCATTCTCATTTATATTTTAAATTACCATATCCACGAGTTGAGGATCCAAAATATCACTTAATAAATTAATAAAAATATCAACTAATTTACGTGACGTTTAATAACAATATTTTGATATTAAATTCTCTCTTCGCCAATTATTATTTGAAGGAGAAAAAAAGGGATTAGCTACCAAACCCCAGAGGAAGTCGAACATAAAATTGGATACTCAAACTCAATTTAAGTGGATTATATATATATATAGCCGTACTACTTGAAAACTACATTATTTAAGTCTAAAAGATAGAAAGTCGATGTGCATCATATTATCTACCAAATTAATGCAATGCCCAATTCTTACGCATCAATTGCTACAAGCACCACTTGTCGAACTTGTCATTGTCAAACATTCAATTGCCCATCACCTTATCATAGTCATGATATTTAAGAACATGAGAATTAGAAAGATGGAAAAGTGAATTTGATCCATAAGAATCGAGAAGAATCGCAATTCCCAAATGATAAGATATAATGTTTTCATTCTTTCTTTTCTTATCTTCTTTTTTTCTTTTTCTTTCTTGGAAGAAATAATGTTTAACAAAATAATACATATATATATATTTATTAGTGGAATGAATGGAGAGAGCAAAGAAACATAGACAACCATACGAACTTGTTCGATATCATGTGTCCTAAAAATAACAATAATAGTAAAGATATTAATAATAATAATAATAATCCAACGTTAAAGGCAAGTGATCAAGGCAGAACGCAGCTGCACGAAGTTTACAGCGAGAAGCGGATGTCACCACATCCACCACGAATAGCTTGCAAGCCACACCCCAGCCATATCGTCGAGCTCTCCTTCGTCCATCTCGCCGCTCTTCGTCGCCACCGATCCGTGAGGCACCAAGGCGTCCCGGCACAGCGGGCACACCGCCCGCCGGTGCGCCAGCCACCGATCCAAGCAACGCCGATGGAAGAGGTGCTGGCACCGGAGCTCTCTGACCTCGTCGTCTTCCTCGATGCCGCAGAGGCAGAAGACGCAGTCCACGTCCTCGTTGGGCGCGTCCACGCCGCGCTTATACTGCGCTATGCCGAGGCCGACGTCGCATGGTGGCAGAACCTGGTCGTCCCAAGGTGCATCGTGGCCGAGAAATTGGGAGATCGGCGGCCACGTAAAGTGAGCTCTTGTATGCATCTGGATGATGGGCATGGCGAGCCGGAGAAGAGTTCTGGTGAGGAAGATCAACAGGTTGGAGAAGGGGATGGAGAGGATGGAGACGAGCAGACATGTCAGTAGTCCCATGCTCATATCATGTTGCATGGAAGGTGAGGAAGGAAGACTCTTTATTTGTAGACAAAGATCAACTACTATCCAAGTTAGAGATCTAAACAACGCAAGTAATTATCTACGTATTTGTGTACGGGTGTATGGATGCAGACATCTGGATTTAATCCGGAAAGCTAAATCGACCATCATTATGGAGATGTTGTTGTCTCAAGTCTCAAAGAAAAGACACTTGTGGTTCTCCTTGATGAAATGTAGAGCTTCAAATCTATAGGGATTTAACGTCGACTGAGAACTCTACATCGGTTCATTTAATATGGCGATGTTGCATGTTCATACTTTATAGGTTGAGGCGCAGAAATGCTTTCCAATAACATCAAAATTAATGGGGGTGTAATAAACATTGGCCGACGATAAAGTGGCACTTGTCATTTAGATTTAGGGTTCGGGGTTCAAAAATTGTTGCTCATGTTTCAGCTTCATTGAACGGAGAAGAAATGGGGGAAGGGGTGTCGTATTTACGAGGGAGAGCTACAGTAGCTCGTCGCCAACTGACCTCGTCTTCTTCACTGTGACCATGTGTCCTTTCTCCCTGCCATAAAACCTACTTCTTTAATACAAAATAATTAGTCATGGCATGTAAAGCGACTGTCTAGGAAAATAATTTTATTTTTTTTGAGTTTTAATGTTCCAAAAATACCTCTTCAAAAAACACTATACAGTATTTTTAAAATAAAAAATATTATACATATAATATTTTTATCCATAAAATAGTTCAAAAACACTACATTGTGTTTTTAAACTAAATATTAATGTCACACTGTTTTTGTAAGAAAAACACTAATAGAATGTTTTTAAAACAAAAACAAATATTTGATAGCTTTTAGAAAGTATTTTTGAAATAAAAAAGAACTGTTTAAGAGTATGAAAAGCGGTACCATCCAAAAAAATAAACCTCAAAAAAAGATAGATATATTTTTTCGAACAATCATCCTTTGTATGTAAACAAAACTATCCACTCTTTGTTTCTTAGATTTTGATATAAAAAAATAATTCTTGATTTTACAAATTTAAGTAATTCATAAATTATGTATCAACATAGTAACTTAATGCCTAGCAATATCGTAACCAATAAAAAAAAGTACCAACTTCAGACTGATGGCAACTTCGAACATTCAAATTAGCGATTATTGCCTCAAGTGGATAAATGACCAGAGTTGACAAGGAAGAAGTGGAAGAGTCTTTCTTTCTTGTGGCAATATATATGATGAACTTTTTGTCATTTTTGACAGACTGACATCCATTGTTCAATCTTCATATGACACAAGTCTGTGAAATAGATATCAACTTCTTGTCATCTAAAATGGACAAGAGGAAGATCAAACAGAAGATAGAAACATATCATTCTACAAAGAGAGAAAAGAAAAGAAGAGGAAAAGTAGGAAGCCATGGGACACACCACATTTTGAATCTGAGTCATATGACATTTCTTTCCAAACAGGTTGAGAAAGGAATAATAAAGACTAAAATATATATTAACGCCAAGATAATGAGGCATGGGGTATGAGTAAATTACTATTTAGAAGAAAACTAGAGCAAATGTATCAAGTATTTTTATGTACCTGTTCACATGTTGAGAGTTCCATCTCTATTGGTGAAGCTTGGTGCACCTAAGCTCGTCGCCACCACGGCTAACACTTGTAAGAGACAAACTCAGATTTAAAACAAGATATTAACATCAACAATTTATATCTTTACCGACTAAACTAATCTAACACCTTCAAAATATTGGACAAGAGTACCAATGCAGGATTTGAAAGTCTACATTCTTGTATTCCTGGAGTTCAAATAATTTGAATAGAACCATAGTGTTTGGCATCACTGCATAAATTATGATAAAAGAAGATAATTTGTTGAACCATAGATAGAACATGGCAAGAGAAAGAAAAGCAGCCGAGAATGAATCTACTCAATTACTACAGAAATTTAGGCCATTATAACATAATGTGCATCCTCAACCTCCCAAAGACTTTGATCAAGGAAAAGAAATACTTCTTCCCCAAAAGGGACTTCTAACTTCAAGATAGACACTGATAGAATTGTTGAGAAGAAACAAAATCAGGCTATCAATAGCAAGAATAAGCATTCATTGAATCTGCAGTTTATGTTGCATCTAATTCATAAGGAAATAAATTCTAATGCAATCATAGAACACGTCTGCAACGAAGTCTTGCATCCTAACCATTGGCAATAAGAAAGGACCGTCAAATGTTGAGAGGTGGAGGTGTCGTGCATTCTGGTGACTGCAAATGAAGACCCTTCCTGTTGCACCCTTGGAATCATTCTGCTTCGGCTGTAAGTTCCAATCCATGAAAACTCCTCACATCCACGAAGACTTCAAAAAGTATGACATATGAATGTTTATAAATATGTTTATGGAAATTCACATTCCGCCATAAACAATTTTTCCACCATTTAAGCTTAGTAGGACCGGTCCATGCTTATTCATGATTTCTTATTCTCTTTCTAGCACCGCACACATCCATCATAGCATCTTTATCTTAGTACAGTATGAGTTATTTGCATAAGAGGATCCTGACACTTCTGAATAAATATCATAGATGCAATCAACTACTAAACTACTATGATGTTGCATGATAAAAAAACAAAATGATTTTAACCCAATTATGTGCTGGCTAAGAATTTGATATATTTGTTTCTTGTTGAATGAGAAAAAAAAAGGGGGGGTAGATGGCGTTAACAATTGATGGATGAAACATATATTTAGAATGCCAAAAACTATTGATCTTCAAGCAGATGTCCAGAACAATGAAGTAACAAGTATTTTGAATTCGGATATCCACAAAAGTTCTGAACAGGTTGGAGTGTTCTGTTTCTGTAGGCAATAGAGGGATAAAGAGTATGCTAGGGCTAGAAAGGTGGTGGAACACAGGCCACTAAAACAATGTTGGGGGAATTGTTGTAAAGAGCACTACTTCAACATTGTTGGATCGAGTCTGGTAGACAAATGTGTTGAAATGTGTATAATAGTAACCATAAATTTTCAAAGGAAAACATCACAATACAAATCATCAGAAAGCCCCTTTCTAAGATGTCACAATTGCTAGTGACTTAAACCACTAGTAGGAATCTTACACCATATTCCAGAGACACTTCATTAAGAAAACCAAAACTTTCTATCAGCATCCCGAAATTTGCAGCCAAGCACTTCAAGACGAACTCAGATAACAATGGAACACATTCAATTCTGTTGGAGAAGATCGATCAAAAGACTGCTTCACTGGTTAAGAAGGATATATACCATTTGATGCAATGCAAGTAAACACATCTCTCAATATGTTCCACAGGTTACCATCAATCCACTTGAATAAATAACTGTCAGCAATAATTTACTTCATGTTCTCAGAGTATATCACTTTCATAAAAAAACCACATACAAAGAGAAATGACAAAATCTGTGTGTATATATACAGCAAACACAAAATGCAGCATGTCCCTATCCTACCATAAGATGCATAAGTAGACATGTTTCAGATCATTCAGTATAGTAGTAAATCTAAAATGAAGACATGTTAAGAAGCCATACATGAAAAAACGCATGTTCACTTGCATGTCTGCTATTTTATTAATCATAATTAATCATGTATCAGATTACCATAAAAAACAACCACTCATCACACACACAGTAACCACTGTGGTAAAGTAGAAACTTTTCACGATAGTATTGTTGATCATAATTCCAAATCCCAGTCTCAGCACTTTAAAGAAAAGAGAAGCCGCTCAGGCTCTCATTTATTGATTCACTTCAACCCTGACTAAAATCCATCCTTTTAGCCACAGCACTTTACATGGCCACATAAATTTCACCTCATGTTCCTTGCTAGCCCGAGATCACTTCTTTGTTCCAACTTTGTTTATACTAACAAAGTAATGAAACCAAAGAAGCTAAAGAAGCCTCACCTTTATTAAGACTCGTTCCTCTGGGACTCCCCATCACCATCCTCTGCGACTGGAACACAGTGGCTTACCAGTTTCTCCTTGATCTCTCCATTCTCCTCCTCACTTTCTCCCGCCTTTTGCGAACCTGTCAACCTGGCGAGCATAACAAAAGTCATCCCGCCAAGAACATTGTTCAAGCACCTCAGCACCACCACGGATGCCTTGAATCCGGCGGATGGCAAGGTTTTCTCCATCAGAAACTCCAGACCGTTCAGCGTCTGGTACCGGAAATTACTGCTCAATCCCAAGTGCAGTGACCAAGTCAGTGCGTTCAGCACTGTGGGCGGAGGCTTGTTCGGTGTCTCAAACGCAGGATCCATCCGCTTGCGCAGCGCGATCAGCCCATTTGAGATGGCGGTCCCTGCAAGCCCCGCGGCGAAGCCGACGGCGGCAAAGGTGGCACCTTTATAGAGGAAGGTGCCAAGACGGGAGAAGAGGGAGTAAGGACCGGGCTGGAACATGTGACTAGTGGGGCAGGAGGCGAAGATGCCGGGAAGGGCGGAGGAGGCAGCGGCGGATGCGGCGGTGGGGGCGAGGAGGTACATGAGGACGAAGTTGACGATGGATCCCACGACGAGGGTGGAGAACACGAAGTCGAGTTCGTTAAGGCCGAAGTTGGGGCGGGAGGCCATGTCACCGATGACGTTCGCGGTGACACCGACGAGCTCCTCCATGAGGACCTTGAAGGGGAACTGAGGATCGGCCGTGACCCTAGAACGCCAACCCTCGAGGAAGAGCCCAAGGGGACCGCCCGGATCGGACGACCTCGGCTCCTCGCTGTGGTGATCATCGCCGGGGGCGCCGTCGCCGCCGCCTCCGCCGCGGCCATTATCGCTGGGACCGTGTGGTGGTTTGGAGGGTCCGCCGCTGGAGAGGGCGGGGGGTTCGGTGGAGGCTAGAGTCTGGGAGAGGCTAGGGTTGGCGGAACGGGGGAGGAGGAGGGGGATGGAGATCGAAGGGAAAGTGCGGGGGATTGAGGGTAGGGAGAGGCAAGGATGGTAATGGTGGTTGGTTCGTCCGTGGAGGCGGCGGCTCTCGGCGAGATCTGGAACCGGAGAGAGGTGGAGCTTCACCGCGACGCCAGCCATGATGGCGTAGTTCACGAGAGAGAGAGAGAGAGGGAGAGAGAGAGAAGGGGAGTTGAACAACGCAAACTATTAGGTTCCTTGTTAGAGTCGCTGTATTAATTCAATAGGGAAACAGCTTTAAAGACAAATATAATGAATATGTGATGACGTTGAAGATTTCTAGATGGGAACTTTGCTGTTTCCTGTGTGTATTGATGATTAGTGACCTCTCTTCTTTGGGTTGTAGCAAGATTAGTGGTAAGATTCCATCCGCCCTCTCTATTTTATCGTGCAACAATGACATTTTGGGGATTATAATCATATTCAAGGGTATTTATGGGATAAAAAATGGGAGTGCGTTAGGTGGCCGTTTACGTTGAGAGATTTTTTATATATATTTTTGGGCCATGTGAATTAGAAATACCAATTGATTTCACGTAACTTTTAATCCGAAATGGATTAAATTGAATTTATGTTTATACTCTGATTTTTAAATTAGATAATCATGATAATCACAATCAATCTCTTCTCATTTCGACAACCAATTTCGATTTATTTTCTAAGAATAAATTCTATTTAAATTGAATTAACTCCATATGATTAGATTTTATATTTTTGATATGTTTTAAAAGATTCTTTTATTATGATGTGAGAATTAAAATTGAGTGAATATAATCTGTATGCATCGAGGTTTATAAGTTCAAACAATCTCGACCTAGTTTTAGCATAATAAAATGGGTATTGATAGTTAATTAAGAGGGTAGTTTAATCTGATTTTATCTTAAGCTAAAAATTTATGTCTCTTAATTTTTTTTATAAAATTTCATGATAATTTAAGATCAACTAAAATAGTTGTTAGGCGAAGATGTTGTTGACGTCTTGGTTAGCCCGACGTGGTCTAAATCTGTATGCGCAAGATTATTTGATGAACTCCTAAGGTGCTGCATGCACAAAGACCGAGATCGAGAGAGATTTTCTAACTCAGTCCCTTCGACGCTTAGGTTGGTAACTCGAGGTGTATGAGTGCAGGTACGAGTAGTCCCCTAAAGTTTTCTTTATCTATGTTAAAGACGAACTTTTATACCTAATTGTAAAGGACAAGAAGGAAGCTTGCGATTACTTTCTAGTCATAAATGACGAGAAAGAAGCTTATTATCGTTCTAATCATAAATGACAAGAATGAAGCTTCATCTTCTTCCTCTTTGGGCACCATGTGGAGGTGATGTGTGAAATAATTGGCCGACAATATATCCCTTATCATTTGTTTCCCCCCCAAGGCATACTTCATAACTCTTTCGATAGAGGTTCAAAGTGCGATGTCTAGTTCATCCGACATGAGAGTGTTTGAGATTTTTTCTCATGGGTTGAGTTTTCTTGACTCACGTGCCTCGGGTATATTTTACCATACATTTTTATCATGGTAAATTTCTTCTCATGTGAGTTGGGTTATTCCGATGCACTTGCCTTAGGCACATTTTACTTTGTGCCTCTACCGTATTGGATTTCTCTTTACATAGGTTGGGTTTTCCTGACTCATGCACTTTGGGTACATTCAGCCTTGTGCTTCCGCTATAGTGGATTTCTCTTCTTATGGGTTTGGTTTTCTTCACTCATGCACCTCAGGCACATTTAGTCTTGTGCCTCCGCTATGGCGAATTTCTCTTCACGCGGGTTGAGTTTTTCTAATTCACGCACCTTGGGCAAATTTTACTTTGTGCTTCCATCGTGGGGCGGATTTCGACGCTTATTGAGTCCTCCATCTAAGGCATTTTGAATCCTTCATTCGATGCTTTTCAAATCCTTTATTTTGTTGGCATCCCTTTGGAGGGGACACTTATCTCAATCGTGGGAGGAGAGAGACCGACTCCCTCCCTATAAATCCTCCCTCACCTAGTGGGTGAGGTTCATTCTTCTATTTAATTATCCAGAGCCTCCTAAGAAACCTTCTTTGCTTTATCACGATTCCCTATATGGTGAATTGATCCTCGGGTCTCGCTCTTCTACATGCCGAGTCGATGCGAGTCTCAACCTGGCCCCTCGGAGTACGAATTGAACCTCCCATCACTTCATCTCATCCTTCTTTTTAATCTTCTGTAGCCTTATGATTGTGATCCTCTATGAATCTGTATTCCTTAAAGAGGAAGGTGTCTGGCTCCTCTTCGGGCTCGGTAATGGCCTCTTCAACTTCAGCCACTATCCATGAGCCATTGCTTGAAATGTCAAGCCCAACTCAATCCAACCACCACGCTAGCATTGACAAGTTGAGAAAGAAGTATAAGGTTATCGTGAGGAAGGTGCCTTACCCCTAAAGGGGTGGGGTGTTGAATCTCAAATTTTGATGATGAAACCAATTGATAGTGTTTATCTGTGCTTTGAGTGAAGCAGAAAGCTTCGATCATGGAGAGATAATTAAAAGCAAGAAGAATCATGTTGGGCTGGAGTGGCACAACCGGAGGATCGATCGACGTATCGGCAGAAGGTTCGGGCCATGGGTTCGGGCATCGGGCCAAGAAGAGCAGAAATTGCATCAAGAAAATTGGAGTTACGGAGATCAACTGACCGATTAAGCAATAGATCGCAAGAGAGGATGATGCGCCGAAGAATCAAATGAGGCATCGATGAACCAATGACATATCAGACAACATTTGATTAGCTTTGTAATAATTGTCTAGATCGAAATAGGTTTTAGGCGTAATTGGGTTAGAATTGGGCCAACTCAATTAGGGGCCAATTGGGCCCATGTTTGGGTTATGTTGGGCCAAGTGAAAGGCCTAAACAGGGACCCAACAGGTGGAACCATCGTGGCATAGTCTCCGAGACTATGTCAAGTGGTGGTATCGTCAAACTGGGTGGTGGTACCGCCCAGACATAGTCTCCGAGAGACTATCAAGCGGTGGTACCGCCAGATTAGGCGATGGTATCACCTAGTGGCTAGGGTGTCAGGCGGTGGTACCGCCACCGCCTAGTGTTAGTGCTGCCGACAATGGTACCGCCTAACACAAGCCCTTGCTCAAAGCCTAAGTGGATGCTACCCTAGCAATTGCATCAGCTTGCGTGTTTTCTTCACGGGTGACCCCAAACACATTGAGTCGGGAAAAACTAAGCTAATTTTCATATATCAGTAAGGTACTTCATCATAGTTGCATCTTGGGCTTATAACTCCCCTCCACCTGGCTTATGACAAATTGTGAGTTGCTGAACACTATTAAGTCTTGGACTTGAAGCTCTCGAGTAAGCTAGAGCCCCAAAAGACATGCTTTATAGAGGAGGAGAGGGGTAGAGGAGAATAGGAGGTGATAGCTAAGAAGGTCTAGCCTATGACCCTTTGGTTCCCTCCTATTTATAGAAGCCCTATATCAACTTAACCCTAATAGATCCTACCCTATTAGGTACTAGATTTCCATCTGACTATACAATTCTTTTAGATTAGTGGATCTCTATCCAATAATCTCTTATTGGATCTCATCTATTGGATCCAATAATTCAAGGACTTATTGGATATCCAATAAGATAAGGGCTTCAACGAATATCTCATATCTGAACCTCTACTCATCGTAACACATACCATATGTGTATGACTCTCTAGGCCCAATATTAAGCTGGCCGTGAGTAATATTTGTCAGAACTCCTTCTGGCTCAGTGACAACTCATCGACTACGGACGTACTAAGTTACTACACCATAATTCCCAAACGATATAGGGGAATCCAATCTTTTGGACATATTTATTCTCACTTATTGTATACCTAAAGTCCCTTATCCATCTAATACCTCAAAGACTGTATACGTGGCATAGCGCTATCAGGCTCATACGGTTTCTACTCGAGTCTCGCTCTAATCGGATTCTCCCGTAGAACTATTTCTCTCTCAATCCGAATGACCATAGTCAGAGATTTGTCTGAGTAAAAACACATGAGATATATTCCTCTTATGATACTAAGAGCGGATAATCCTCTATCAACACTTAAAAGTCCTTGTAAAGTTGGCTACTACTCCCGATAATTGGCTATAATAGATTTAAAAATTTTAGACCTCTGAGTCTGATATTAAAGAGTGGAGTACTCATACAGGACATCCTTGGTGTCTCAAGTCTAAGGATCAGATGCACCACTGGGATGATTGAATCACTATCTGACAATGAGGTATCATCAACCATATATCATTTCGTGAGTGGATCAATCAGTGAACTTATTCTTCAATGAGCACATACACTATATTCATAGTATCCCCACACGAGTAGCTATCAGACCAACCTCTTCCATCATATGGATGGGTATATAGTACACCAGTCTGTCCGGTTATCTTGATATCCCTCTCGAGTAATATATAACCAGGATTATTTAGGGTCAGTGTTTAAAAGCTGTTAGGATCGAGAGCACTAAGAGGGGGGGTGAATTAGTGCAGCGGAAATCTTTCTGCGATTAAAAACGAAAGCTGCGTTCGTTCGATAAAAACTATTTTAATGCAAAAGCTAATTCTAAGATTACTTATGATTAAGTGCAGTTTATGTCTAAACACAGTTTGCGTCTAAGCGCAATTTATGCAGTTTGCAGTTTGCGTCTAAATGCAGATTACGTCTAAGCGCAGTTTGCATCTAAGCGCAGTTTGCGTCTAAACTTAGATTGCGTTTAAGCGCAGTTTGCATCTAAGCGCAGTTTACGTCTAAACTTAGATTGCGTCTAAGCGCAGTTTGCGTCTAAGCGCAGATTGCGTTTAAGCGCAGTTTGCATCTAAGCGCAGTTTACGTCTAAGATCAGATTGCGTCTGAGCGCAGTGCAATTTGCGTCTAAACGCAGTT